AGCCGTGATAAAACGAGGAAAACGGCAGAGCGCGAGCGAGCGAGCGCGCGTACGCCGCGCTTCTCCCGGCTTCTCCGTTCACGTCGCATCCGCCGTTGACGTTTTCACTTGTTAACCTCGGCAACTTGCCGTCTCGTCGTGGATCTGAGGATTATTCATCACCGCAACTACCAAGGGGGAGGGACGGTTTCCATAATGGGGTGGAAGTGAGGGGGAGGGGGAGGTCGGGGGTTGGTTGTGGGGGATGATGGCTGACACAACGACATCGGTGGAAAGAGGAAGAAGCAAAGAGGAAAGCAGGAGGTTAGGGAAACCGGGGCGGAGGGGTAGAACCGGGACAACAGCGTATTCCATGTTCCCTCGTGTCACTGATTATTCCATTTACGAGCCATGCCGCATGATTCTGAATAGAGGTACACACTGCGCCGGGTAGATTCACCTCGAATCCCTTTCCCGCCCTCTGTTTCTCTCTCGCTTCCTGTCTAACGCTCTCTCTTTCTCTCTCTGTTCATCTATCCAACTCGCCCTGGCTCTTAGTTTGCCTAGTGTCTCTCACGCTAGCCACCGTGCATCGTCTCACTCGCGCCGACTATCCATAGTCTATCCATAGGTAGAAAAGGAGTCTCGTCTGAATCGGAAATCAATCGAATCGGCACGCTAGGTGAACCCCCCCCCCTCCCCCCGATTTGATCTAGCTGCTGGCATCGACGTCATTCGCGTCTCAAAAATCTCCAAGTTGCGGCCGATCTATTCGAATCGATCTATACTGGATACTCATACTAGGCTCTGCGAACCTTCCGTATTTCACGGGAGGTGGTAAAGAAAAAAAAAAAAAAGAATGGACCGAAGAAAATGTGACATAGTTAGATGTGCCGTTTACGATTCGACGGAGTTAAAACCTCGTTAAAACCGAATGCGAAACGCGACCCGTCACCGACGTCGCCCCGGGCGCGGATTTCCAATTTGAGAAGAATCGCGCGCGTTTGCCGTCGGATTGAACGCAATTATCGTTGCTTTAATAAATTTTCATCGCTCCGTCAAAATTCGTAGCCGTTTCGGGTTTAATTGCCGGATCGAGGCCGCCCGTGTCATCGATTATAATTATACGGCTCGGGTTTCACCGGGTCGCTGCCTAAATTACGTAATTGAGAAAATATTTTGGGCCTCGTGTCAAAAAATATAAAATACTCGCGTTAATTGTTAGTCGAAACTGAAATGTACACCGAGAAAACGTACAGAGAAAGTTTGAAGTGGATTTAAAACTCTTGTTTCAACCGTATCTATTATATATGACGCAAAGATTCTACCGCAATCTAGAAGTCTCGATAGGCAAGCGAGAAATTATGCAGCCTCAAGCAGGATTTCGAAAAAAAAGAGCCCCTTTTTAAGGTGTGTACACGAGAACGGAATAAAAAATGTTGCGATAGCAACGTCGACGATACGGTCTACATCGAATATGCGACACGAGCAAACACGCGGATTGTCGTGCTTGTGCATGCAAATTCGCCGCGGATGCAGGTGCGGCGACAGCGACATCGTTGGCCACGTGCACCGGTAGTGGTGACAGTGGTGCAATGTACCCGAATTAGTCGTCCGAAGACATACGGGTAAGGGAAATTGTTGGAGCGAAGGGTGCACCGGCTCCTCGCCCCTTCATTCATGCATAAAATCCATATTCTTCGGAGGAAACAACGTGCTTCATCGCAAGGAAGCCCGGTCGCTATGTCGTCGTATCAGAGACAACCCTTTTTGGTCCTAGTCAAACCCGGCGTTTGTATGCTCTATCGTGCTACAACCGAGATTATATTCGAAGGGTGCCGCGTTGCCAGAAAATTCGTAGAAACTTTTGTAGGAATTTTTAACTCGACTATTTGGAAATTTCTAGCTACCTCCATTGGGACTTGTTTGCATCATAAATTGCGTTCTATTTCCTGACCTAACTCCATTTACTTGTTTCAATGTTTTATAAGTTTCCTCGCACGGGTATGGTCGTAGATAAATTTAAATTGTCAGGAAATTCATGTTTGTTATTTAATGAACATTTTACGTACAGAAAAATTATTCAGAAAAATAAATTGCGAATTCGTCAATAACTAGAATGTTTCGAAAGAAATTCAATTAAAATGGTCAATTACCAAACTAAAAAATAACTTAGTTGGAGACAGTTTCATTTGATCGTGCTGACAGTACTGTAGCATCGATAATTAACATGTCAATGAACGTCCTATTCTAATTACGTTTACAATTAATACCTATCTTTCAGCAGATAACACAATTAAAAGAAGATCCTAACGATTCTAATTATCGTTTCGCGTGAACGATCGATTTTGTGTAACGTCCTCTCCATTACCATTAAAAAAAGTTGCACGGCGCGAATATGAAGAGTAGCAAACTCTAAAGAAAGAAAAAAGAAAGAAAGAAAGAAAGAAAGAAAGAAAATGTCGAGAATAGATTTCTGCAATCACGAAGCTCGGTTGCACTCGAGTTTGAATTCGTCGTGGGCATCATCGACCGATCGAAAGAACACCCATTACGCGTCCACGTAACAAGATATTGAATTTCTGTGGGGTTGTGAACCCCAGTCTCGAGCGGATTCGTGCCTTGAGATATAATAGGAACGCCTCCACACCTACTCGGCCGTGCTGTATTTCAGACCTCTCGCCACTTGAGCCACAGAGCGACTATACACACTCTAACAAACGCCCATTTTCAGACAATGAATATTTTAGTGCGCCCATGAAAGCACGCTCGAGCGCTTTTTTTTTTGTCCTTGCCGCCCTCGTCACAAAAGGCATCATCGCTGCACCGTGTACGTGACGATCCTAACCCCTTGATCATTCAAGGAACACCGCTAGTAACTGGATCAAGTAACGGTACTCTCTCTTGTCCTAGGAAGGTTCATTGTTTTCGACCCTTTCGCGCAACAGATCCAGTGATATCGTGCATCTTGACTGATTTATGGTCCTATCCACAAGAACAAACGCGGAGATTGCGCTTACTTTACCCTGAAGCGATTCCTTTACGATTGCATCGAAATACTTCTAAACATCACGTCCCGGAAATATATGAAGAGTTGAATTTTAAAAATTGAATTTTGATCCACTGGATTTCAACAAAAACTTTATGGATGATATTGGGAACTTTCATACAAAAAACTGAATTATTATTTCCAATTTTGTTTTGTTTCAAAAAAAAAAAATAATAAATAAAGTATAAGAGAAAAATATTTTAACCGCTTGTAACATATTATATAAATATTATATGAATATTCAATATTTTTCTCAACGATACTTTTTACCGATATTTATATTTTAAATATTTAATTTTAATAAATTTTATCGGCAGAAGTTATAGTCGCATGTATTACCTATAAAAGATTTCTGCTATACCGATACACGTTATTTGCACAATTCCAAAAAAAAATACAGATCACAGATTAAGAATAGATTACATCACGACTCTAAAATGATTTGGTATTACAAACAAGATATAGGATTATGCTATGTTGTGAAATACAGAATACATTTGACATTTTCTTGGGAATTCCTTTCCTCGTTACTCTTTTACCCTTTTTGTGTCACATGCGACATTATCGATACAATTTAGAATACGAGTATGACATTAATAGTGATTGGAATTAAAACTAAATTTAATTATAAAATTACAAACAATTTTTAATTAACCATTTCCTTCACTCTAATTTATAATAATTATCAGTTTAAGCTTCCAAAGTTAAATGCAAAAAATAACTAAATTTTTGTAATTTCAGAACTCAATGAAAGTCGTCCTAATTTAATTATTTAATATTTAATATTTAATAATATATACACAAACATAACTGCAACTGATCACATATTCATCTGTTTATAAGACGTCAATGTCTATTCCTCGATGTGTAGAATTAACAACAACAAAAATTGTATGGAAATAGACGCGAAAAGACACAAAAAGAATTTTAAAAATTTTTATCGTAATACCGATAATATTTCTGTATTTTGCATGTTTTAATTTTACCTCAAATTATAATGTATTGTGTATTCTATTTTATTAATTTAATAAATCACCAAAATTCTAATATTGAAAGAATAAAATATTCAATGAGCAATCATTCAATTAATTGACATTAAGCTTTAATGAATTATTGGAATTCTAATATTGAAAGAAAAAGTTCTAACAATGAGCTCTGAAATAAATATTAATACAAATAACCTCGGGTGATCTCTTCATCAAAGCGCATTGTCGAAAGCATGAAAGCAGTTGTACAGCTGCTTTGATTTCGAAATTTACACATCGCAAAATTTCCTCTTGCACATTAAATTTAATATATTTTTGTACGGAAAGGTTGAATTTCAATATCTTTGTATTTTAAATTAATTGTAATTATTATACATTCATAATGTCAATTAAATCATTTAAAATATTATTATGAGAGAATAAAAGATGAAATTAAAAATGTTTTGTTATTAAAATTATTCAGAATATGTATTATCATTATTATTGTAATAATGATCATTACAATCTTTATTACAACGAAATCGGAGGACATTTGACTTCTCCACTCATTATCACAGATTATTGAATAAAATAAAAATTATTTCAATATTGATGTGGATAACATTCTGAATTCATTCTGATTATAAATGTAATTGTGATGAATATATTTTCGACCACAGATTATCAATTAATATTATTATATCATTATATGTATCATTCATACTGATGATTAACATTATATTAATATTAAATATTATAAAATTTTAATGGTCAATATCATATTATTAATATGAAAAAAAAACCCGATGTGCAAGAAAACCTATCCTAAACTAATAAATAAACAATGAAAAATAAAATGTAATACTACTCACGAGTATATATAAATACCCATGGTCACTATGCTCGAAACAAATTCTACGTATATATCTATACACCAGTCACCATGTCAATTCGGACTTTTCATCCTACATGACTGAGTGACTAGAAGAACAAAAATGCATACTTACATTTTTAACTCTTTAAGAAGTCCACAGACGGGAATCCAAAAGTGTAATTTATGAAAAACCTTTAACAAAAAATGAAATATTATAACTTGCCAAAATCAAACAAACATATAATGTGTCTGTATAACAGAGACACTTACGTTCTTGATTTAATGGGGAGACTAGATCCTCTTGTGAAAATTTATGACTCTAATACCGAAAACGAATATTAAAATATATATTCATGTTAAAAATAAAAAGCTACTGACGTGTCCGTTTAAATTATCCTCGGCGAACAAACACTGACTCTAATTCCGCGTATGAACTCTAACTGGATTTATAATCACTGCAAAAGCTATTGCATTTTGAGAACTATTAAAAATAATTTTACGTAACAAACACTGACTCTATCAATCGCATTGCGCGCGATCACCAAAATTTCCTGAAAATAATATTGTAAAATATTAGTATAATGAGGAAAGAAGGAGGGGGGGAGGGGGGAAAGATATCATATAAAAGAAGACGTAAAATATTTCATTTTTATATCATCTTTCTTTTTTTTTTAACGAGCATTTGCATAAAAATACTGCTGTTTTTCTAATTGCAAATCTACTAATAAGTTACTATTTTATTAATAGAGAACTATTATATTAAAATTATTCATTATTATAATTGTGTGACTATTCATTATCAGAGATTGAAACATGTTTTCTCGTACTAACCTACGTCACGTGTAATAAATATTTGAGAATGCTCGCAAGAGACCAAGGTATGATACAAAAACAAATCATAACAGACGCGTTTAGTCTTGACTCGAAACATGTTGTGTTATAATGTTTGTTTACGAGTTACTGGCAAAGTTATCAACGGAGAGGTTCAAAAACAACATTATTACAAAGGATATACGTATTCGAAATGTAGAAATTATTTCAACTTTTCGTTCATTCTACGTATACATTAATTGCCCATATATTAAACGTCCATTATTCATGACTCCATAATGTACATATACGTCTGCCTTTGTAACAGTAAATCAAATATTACCAAATCTGCATAGCAAAATCATTCGTGCTCCTTCGAAGTACAAAATTTCGGCAAATAACCTGTACAAAAAATAACCAAGGATTTAAGATTAATATACAAAGCTAACACTAATTATATTAAAATAAAACAACGAACACGTTTAAATTTTGTCTCAAAAGTTCGCAATACAAGTGGTTGGTAACTCTGACTGTCGCTAACAATCAACGAAGTATGAATATCAAGTTCGAGAAACTATTCAATTACGTTGAGACAATATGCAAACAGGTATTAAATAAATACATAAGAGTTAAACGAACCTGCTAAAGTAATTTATAAACGGTGATAGCGCATTAGAAGCAGTTGAAATGACATGTCGAACGGAGCAATACATGTGGACACCACACTTCTCACTGCACAAGTGACACTGTCTTGCGCAAAATTGTCAGCTCGTTGCTTTCCTATTGGCTAGCGCCAATTGGTTCCTCTTTCGTTTAAAGCGCGCGCAAAATTGAAATATTGCACGCGCGACATTCAACATCTGGTCGACGAATTATATCAGCTTCTGACTAAATAACAATAAAAACTTATTAAAATTAAATACATATACAAAAAGAAATATGTACATGTACACTGTAATAAACAATTTCTTGAAAAAATTGAATTTTAAAAAATATTTTTGCAGTTGAAAAAATTATTATACGAAATATAAAATTTTATTTTTCTATAATATTTGTGTCTATATTTTGCTTTATACATATTTAATGAATAAACCATTAATTGGATTCTTAATTTCATAGAAAAATTTTGTTATAATTTAAACCACACTGTACTGAATCGATAACGTCGCATGTGACATGAGAATGATCACGAATGGATATGAAGAAATATAAATGTCAGGACTATTTTATCCTTAATCAACACTGATTTTGTATCTTTTCTCTTTTTATATTCTAATTTATATAATTTTATATAAAAATTTACTAACCATTTCAACTACTATAAAGCAATCTCATTTTATGATGAATCGGTAATGTTGAAAATGATACTGAAATGATAAAAAGGATTTAGAGTTCCAGAAATGCGACAAAATGTATTAGATGTTTAATTCTTCGTTTCTAACAGAATATATATAACTTCTATAAACAAAATTTCTAATTTTTAAAACGATCGCTATATCAGAAAATGTGACACAAAATCTTACAAGATACTATGCTTTTACATATGCTTTGTTTATTTTACAATTATTGATGTTAAAATTGGATATAATTATAAATTTAAAAATTATTATTTGTTATTTTCGTAATTTATAAATATAAATAAATCTACATTTTTTTGCATATATTTTTAAATGGAATTTTACTTCTATTTGATTTTATCTCTTAATCAATTTAAGTGCAAATTCATGTAAATTTGGGCTCTGAAAATAGAAGTTGGTCAGTATCGTTACATCAATTTTAAGGGACATGAAAATTCATGATAAAAACTACTTATATTTACTAAGCAAACAGGTATCTCGTTGCGAACGTAGGCAAAATATTATTTAAACAGTTTTGTAACACTCTATTAGGTAATTTAACATAAACTGCAAAAAGTTCCTATACCAATTTATTTCCCATTTAACAATTTTCAACAAATAACAGAGATAATAAAAAGTTAAAGCTCACTGAAAGTAAATTCTAAATGAATTTCTCTTTCAATGCTAACGAATCAATAATTGCAAAGAAAAACGATGCGATAAAAAAAAGACCTTGTAACTGAAAAAAATGTTACTTTTGTTACAATAAATATTCTTCCAATTATCTATAATCGTTTGCTATATATATCCGTATAGTATACGTATACGGAATACATATGAAGTGGACAAAATTGGCTGCATAACGTATCTATTCGCTGTCTAGAGATAGAGAACAAAAAAATCGAATATGGGACTACTATTGTCCAGCTGTCCAGTAATGGACGACCCTCTTTTAGCTCGAGCTAATAATGCCGAATTGATCCGGGACGCTTTTCGGTGATTATATTTCACGAACGTTTGCCTTTTATTAGAACCGTACTAAGAAAAGCAAATTTTTTACTAGATTTTTTTCTCTGTCCGGCTGTTTATGGCTTCGCGTTTTTCAGACATCTGCGCTTCAAATCCTTTTTTATGTGTACCGACGTATAAAAAATTGAAATAAACGTAAAAGTTAGGCAACTTCGTTACAATATTATACGCAAAACTTTCGCACTCGTATTGCTTGCAATAAATATCTACGTCTAAATTATCAAACAAACTGCATTATCTGTCACAATATTTCAAAATAAGTGACATTTGCATAACATTGAGGCGAACGAAACGCAATTGCAACGAAACGATGTAATCATAGGAACTATACTATTTACGTTAGATTATATGAATGTCACCAATAAATAAATGATGAGTTAAATTTTTACATACATTCTTTTTCTTTTTACTCCCTTTATGCAGCAATCTACGTCCACGCGATCTTTCTAAGAAAAAAAAAGCAACCGTTATTGAATTGTCGAATCTGTGGCCATCCGTGTGGCGCGTATCCTGTGACACGGCTACTCGTTCATATTTTTTGCCGGCTCTTTTTCCCATCGGTGATTCGATTATTCAAGAGGGAGGAACGAAAAAAAAAACGCGAAATAAGAGCTGACCAAAGTATATACGATAGCTCGCATGCTCGAGAAACGTATCCGTCAATTCATTTTCACCGTATTAATTTGCACCAGAATCTCTTTTGCTATCGAGCTCTTCGGACAAAGGGCGATTCGTTTTCGAATTTAGATGCATCGATAAGTGGCACTTTACCGTTCAATGCGCGGAAATTTTACAAAAGGATTATCTTCTTTTCTTTTTTTTTCTCTCTTCCTTTTCCACGATTGCAAAAGGGAGAATACGATTGCCGCCATAGTATAGTTCAGTGTAACAACTATAAATAACAGGAATAGATCGCAGGATGGGAAAACGACAGAAGCAGACGCGGACCGCCAATTGAAATGCATCATGCGATTCAAAATTATTGGTCTATGTCTCGCAAAGTTCTCGGTCCTCGTGTAATATCATTAATTTGGAACAGCGAATACGAAAACAGACGTAACTTCATTATCATTATCAATACCGCACCGAAATCGCGTGACAAGTGTGCAACCGCAAAAGCGGAACGCCCTAGCCTACGCTTGAACGCTATTGGCCAGCCGCTCTAATTTATCCTTTAAATAATTCACTATCTCGGCTATCCTGTCGATTTTTGATCGGTAAAGAAAGAAAATATCCCGCGAGACAGGTGTGCCGTAATTAGACACGTGCCATGAATGCGACGTGGCCACGATTAAATTGCAAGGAACTCGGTACTCGGTCAGGCTGAAAAGCAAATTGTATATCGGACAGAGTAATTTTGTTTAGTAAGAGAAAAGGATGCGCGCGTAAATGTTTGTGACCCACGTTGAGTCCAATTTTTTTCCAATAAATTATTCGCAGAATGGTAATTTTCTATCCCGACTGCATGCAATGGATTATCATACAAGTGTTGCACTTGTTGAACTCTATTTTTGGTCGCTTCTTCGAAGCATGATGCATTTGCTGCGATAATGCCACGAAAAATTACAAGCATTTTTCGAAGTTCGTGGAGTGCTTAAACAATAGAATATCGAGGATTCGCGAGATGAATGCCGACTGACTTTTCGTGTGATCAAGAACTAATTGAAAATTGACTTTGAACGATTGATCGATGAGTTCGAAATTTCCATTTGAATGTAACACTCTGAGGAATTTAATACTGTGTGTATGATAAAGCAAGTGCATGAGGGTGAAATAGTGCCTGTCATTGAGTACAACACTGACAATGTAACGCGACGAGTTTGATACTTGAGTTTGGCACTGCCTGCTAAAAGTCTGAATTTTCTGCGTTGTACTTAATTTTAGTTAACAGGTGTTGGTAAATCAGCGAAAAATCTTTACGACCAAACAATGTAGTGGGCAATGACCATTAATAATCGATACTGAATATCAGCCAAACAGATAGCGATCGAACGATCGTAACAACTGTCAATAAACGACCGCGAAATAAAACAAACTGTCTTAAAAACAATGAGTTTGACCGTCTTTTTTAACAAACGATATTCCAGGATGGTATGTACTGTTAACAGAAAATAAAATGAATAAACATCGCGTTACTATTTTTACTTAGATACATGTACTTGCAATATTTTTCACTAACAAGAAAGTAGAGAAAGAGGAGCGTAATTTCGTTTTGGATACCAAACTGCGAGACGGCAATGCGAAAAGGAGAGAAGAAGAAAGGAAACATCGGCTGGTCATCGAGCTCCCTCGAGTACTTTTCGAAAAAAAATATCTCTTTCGCGTAGGTGCGAGTGTCTTTCGCGAGATTCTGCGCGTCATTTCCCGTGGAATGGAAGGAAACTCCTGAGAGGAGGCTCGTACCAGTTCGGACTTGTCCGTGAGGCTAAACTAATTTGCTGCGTGAGGGTAGTCGCTGGGTTAGAGCTTGAAGTGGGGTGACACAGGGTCGAGGCAGATGGAAAGTTCAGAGGGGATGAAGGGAGAGTCATCTGATTCCGCGTAGTGGGAGAACCGAATTCCGAGTGACCAGTAAAAATGCCACCCCACGCGCCCCTCCCCTTTCCCCCCTTTGCCGCTTTCCGTCACTTTCTCTTTCCGCTTCGCTTTCTTCCCTCTTCCTTCATTTCGTCTCCCTTCTCTTTCGGATCCTTTACCCTCACCAGGCCTACCTCCGGGGTGTAGGAAGGACTGTGAACTGGGGTAAAAGACTGTTCGTGCTGAGTCGCGAGGAGGACGGTGATAGCTTTGAGACGCGCCGATATGTTTGTGTCTGTGGGTGAGCGCCTTTTTTAACGCACGTGTGTGCAGGTGCGTAAGTCTGAGAAAGGAGGAAGTGCCTTAACGAAGAAAGACTTTCTCAGTGACGGGTTACCTTCCTCCAAACACCCTCCACCTTTCCACGTACGCGCAAAAATCTTCCTTCAACATCTATCCTGAGAAAATCATTAACGAATCTTCGAAACAAAAAACGAACGTTGCATCGGTCAGAGAAACTTACAATGTGGATTTAACATCGTGGAAATTGACATTAATTTCATATCATAGGTGTCAATCAAATAGATACGTCTATCGTACAAAAATGATGGTATCAAAGAGCATCAATTTTACAAGACAGAGCTTAAACGTCGTAAGGAAGAAAAATAAGTTGAAGAAAACGCAAGGAGCCAACAAGAGCTTAGGAAGATGTCGTCCCTGACTTTGAAAGAGGGTGGCAGAGAGTAAGGGGTGAGTTCACTTGGGGGACTAGAAGCTAGGGTATGGGGACGGTAGCGGGGATGGGGGGTTGAATCAGCGCGGGGGTGTATGGGGGAATTAGTAGATGGCCGTGGACAATGTGGGGGATACTTTCTCATATCAAGTATGGCCGCCATCGTGGCACGATGGCCAAAACAATAGTAAGTAGAAAGACCCGTAAGCAATTGTCGTTCCTCGCAATTCCTCGCTAACGTTGCTTTTCTTTTCCTTTTTTTTTTTTTTTTTTCTTTCCATCCCTTCTATTTTCGAAATTCTTAGTTTCGAATTAAGCCCTTGAGACGACGAGAGAGTATACTTTAGACGTTTTCCATTGTTTTTCTCGTGTTTCAGTGCGCAGTGAATAAAGTGATGTTGTCGTCGTTATCGTCGCCGTTATCAGTCGCGAGCTCGTGCCTCGTTTATTGGACAGGAGTCATCGCCGTATCACTATAATTAATAAATGGATAATGACGAGAAATCAACTAACCGTGAACGTTTCGAATTCTTTCACGTGGGAAAGTTGCTTCTGATTACGGTAAGTCTTTAACGAGGACTTTCTAAACTAAAAAGGCTTGTGTATCTCTAGTAAATAGAGATCATCACTATAATTCATTGCCATTCAATTGTTCCAACCACCGTCGTCAATGCAAATGCTGCTTATCTTTTATTCAAACCATCAGTAACGACGAATCATCAGCGTCCTTTGAATTTCGTCCGTTTTCCGTAAATAAACTTGGCGCAACAGTATGTGCAACTGCTCCTGTACATCCTCACATTCGGCCTTCGCGGTTCTCGCGATGAATTTTCCTCTATGGAATTCTTAGAAATTCTTAGAAATCGTGTACGATTAATTAAAATTCACTGAAATTATCGATGAGTAAATACGAAGAAACCAGCGACTTGGAGCATTGAATTTCTAAAACGACGCTACACCGTTGCCTATTCGACGAAGACTAAGAGGCCGTCCGATATCCGTCGACGTCTTTTGCATGCGAATACTCCACGTGGTTCATCCGACGACACGCATTGCGCAGATCCAACTTTCCCCACCTTCGTGTCAATCGCACCTTTTACATATTTATTTCAGGTACGAATATAACACGCCACTGGCGTTAATGTGACCACGATCGCGTGAGCGTGTTGAATACTTTTCCAAAAAAAAATACATATTTTCACTTATTTCCGATACAACGTCTGGAAGAAAATTATCTAAATTATCTCGTCCTCCAGTTTGTGTACCTTTTAAATTTCATTCGTACATTTTTTTATTTAAAACGCGCTAGTATTTTGAAAATTGCCGAAGATACAAATCTTGGAAGAAAGAAATTTTCTCGTAAAACGTGTCGTATGTAAGTCTCAACGAGTCCGAGCGAAGTAATTGATTCAACAGTATAATGAAGCTACGTATCTTTTTACAAATTCACTTCCTCGTTGAAACTTTAAAAGCGGAGATACAACCGGCTCGGCTGGCCCTCAGCGATTCGCAATTGCAGAGACGTCAATCACGAGAAAGAAGGTCGAACCGGCGAGACGAAGCATGCTAGATGTTTAAAGAAAGCGAGGAGCGGGTGGGTGGATAGATTTTCAGTACTGGCGCGATGATATTTGTCTTGTTTACGGACAGACTTATGCGCGTGTGCGAACCAGTGAAGTTCGCTGCTCGATCAATAGGCCTCTACTGAAATCACATATAAACGCACTCACGCGCGCACACACACACACACACAAACACACACATATACACAGGTTACAGTTCCGAACGAACACACGCACGTTTAGTATCAACGCAAAAACTCCGCGAGCTTTTCTTTTTCTACACGGAGAACCGGGATGATCGAACGACCGGACGCGATACTTTCATAATTTACCCCTCTCGTCGTCTTATCGATTCCAGAAATTCCGGTTCTTACTGCCGCTCCCGCTCGGTTTGTCTTTAAAAGAGTTCGATGATCTGATCCCATGGAGGACAATCTTATCTCGCGCGTTTCTACAAATACCGTCTATTCTTTTTATCGCCTTTTCTTGCGCAAATACACGCGTATGTGCTTTGTTTCCAAGAAACGGGTTACGGCGAAAACAGGTGAAACAGATATAAAACACGAAACGACGTAGAAGTCGAGCATCTTGACCGACAATCTCGTACACAGCCTGCTGTTTCGTCGAATCATATCGATTCACCGCATTCAATATTAATTACCGTGCAAACCCTCGCCGAAAACGCATAATTTATCGTGCCATCGTTCCACGACGCGGCTGAAGGAGTCAGCTGCGACCGCATCACGCATCAGCGTACGCGGCATATGTTGTCGCAGCATCGTCGCATTTTGTCGCAAGTTGAAACATTGTTTACCAAGGTGTAGCACGCCCACGCGACAGCGCCACGAAACGATTTCAGGAAACGATTTCAGAAGAGGAGCATATGCAAGACACCGTGCATCCACGATAATACCTCTTTCGCTGGCCGTCCCTTCGTATCGCAAACGCGCGCGATAGTTATTTCCTTCTATCCCCCTTTTTCTGCGTCGTGCTTTCCACTCTTTAACAACATGTTTTTCTCGACACCCTTTCGAGAACTATGAAATGCCCCTCGAGTCCCCTTCCCTTTTATCGTTCGTTCGATATGTCATTCATCCAATTTCGGCTAGAAACGGTGCAAAGGCTTTTCCACAATACAGTCGGCGGGGCCAACGGCATACCATACGGGCGTATTTACGCGTATTTTTCGAAAATCCGTCAAACGTTACGCAGAAATGCGGGTTTTGCCTCGCAACCATCCGCCCCTCTGGTCCCGGCCTATTTTTCAACCCCCGCGTAATCCAATTTCTGTACACTGACAGGCGGCCGATCCAAATTTCGAATAATGATCCTGCGTCATTGTCGATGCCGAAAGGTGACGCGTACACACGGGATCCGAACTTTTGCAATTAACGTTCAGGATATATTTCAGAAAACTCAATGGTAACGCGTACAGCGTCCCGACTACAAAATATACATATAGGTGATATACATATAGGATATATGTGAAACGAAGTTTTTTAACATGAAAAATACCAAACTTTGGATGTGGAAAGCTCCAGGTGTTCAAAGATAAAGCATACCCGGTTAAAGACAGAAACGTGAAGCAACAGACAACCGACTTTTCGATAATTACACAAGGACGGATTATTCCTTCCGTTAAATCGTCAAATCTTTCAGTCGAACGCGATTGGCCTTTGATCCTCGAATCGGGGCGGAATCAATCGAAACAGTTCGAAAATCATCTGTTCAGGGAATGTAGCAAACGATGCTTCGTTAACGTGGTGGGGAGGGACATTCGTGTGATGGCTCTCTGAAGGTGGTAGGGACGAAAACGATGTGACAGGCCCTTCATAGGGCACCGTGCCTGCACCTAACAGTAACCTGGGAGAGTTCACAGAGGCGTAAGCGTGCCGAGCATCATAGATTAACACCTTTTCGAGATCTTTAAAGATCTCTCGGTCGAGAGTACTTGTACACAGTAACACGGGCAGTTGTCCCTTTCGATTCCGTTTAAGGATTCACCGCGTCTCCCTCCGTTTATTCGACAACCAACTTTAGTCCAATTTCATCCCTCCGAGCAGTTTTAGCACGAACGAACGAATATCTTTGAGTAAAAATACCCTCCTCTTAGCCCCTCGTTTGGCCGAGACGTCCCGTGGAAATCGTAAAATTTATATCGAGTAGCTCGTTCTTTCGAGGGTTCGTCTGACCAACAGCATAGGTAACCCCTCGGTTTACCTACCCTCCTTGATGCCACGTGCCAATAACGCATTTCGAGCATTCTTGACGTCTTGGATAGGAGAAAGAAAGCAGGCGAGGAAACGATTGTTGCTCGCCCGGACCTGCTACGTGCTACGTGTATATAGTTTTAACAAGAAAGTGCTGTTTACGCGCGATTTCTTCGATAAAAATGCGCGATAAAGTTCTACGTGATACTCAATGGAATTGTGCTGTTTCGAAGCTGCTATGTTTACATTCAACAATGTTTATTGGACGGTCTCGAGACAAGGATGTTCCTCGAACGATTTCAATCGGTGGCGTTTAATCTTTTACGAAGAACTCTTTTCTTTTTCTTTATCGGTAAGGAAACTTGTGTCGTAATATTTTCAAAAATATGATTCCCCCCGGTTTCCTCTTCTCCTTTCTTCTTTTTGCCGCAATTCTTCGATCGTGTAATTTCGCTTGCTGTCGTTCGGTCTCGCCGCGGGCATTACCACTAGTCAGAAGCTATCACGGTTCAACGACCTGGCCATTATTTTCGTGACAGGAGGCACGGGTCTGTCAACTTCAATTAGTAATTACGGAGCTTCTGAAATGCATATTCGTACTATCCTCTGAATTCAGCCCTAAAGTATGGACGTACGTATATGAGTCATATAGTAGGTTCCCCAAACGTCTCCCTTTTCTGGCTCTGTTCATTCGCGTATAGGGTGTCTCGTCGAGGCAAAGGCCGTCAACTTGCGCGTACTTCTTTCTGCACGACGCTCGTTAGGCAGTTCTATTTTCATCCGTATCTATCATCTCCTGTCTATCTATCTCGTCGCGATAATACGTAAACGGTGAAACAGAACCAGGAATACGGATGAAATTTCAGAATTCCATCGATCTGGTCGCGTTTTTTATTAGCGAATGCCAGGATCTCGGTCGTTCGATCTCATGTTTTCTACGAGAAAAGGAAGCAGGATGGCGGCCGACGTCGCGACGATGTCGCGAAGGCTAGGTGAATGCAAATGACAATAACGATCAAGGGGTGTTGATTTTTGTTCGGCAGAGCGACGAGAGTGATCGATAAGGTGGTGCGGGATCGGGACGCTGTCACGTCCTGGAAAGATGTCCTCAACGATGGCGCATGAGACGACGATATCGGAGTTGACGGAATTGGACAGCGACGGATCGAGTTGCGGTGAACGCGACGCGAGGAAACGTCTTCGTTTCGACGTGGATTCGACCGGGCCGAAGAAGAGGCGAAAACAAACGACGCCCGTGAGATTCTCCTCGACGTTGGTGCCCGGCGCGCACGAGGAATCGAACGAGGACGAGGACGAGGACGAGGACAGCGAAGGTAAGCTGTCGTCGCAATCACCCGTGCCGTGTCAATCGTCGATAAGGGACGAGAACCTGACTAACGAATTCCGTTGCAAATACTGTAGTCAGTTTTTCGACAGTAAAGAAACGCTGAACGTTCACCTCGACAATGAGCACGGCTCCGCGAGTCAGAGTCGAAATAGGTCTCCGAATGCCGCGGTCAAACAAGAATCGTCTCAGCAGCTGGACCAATCCGAGAATCCCGTTAATTTGCTTAGCGTGAAGGACTTCGCGATAAATTGGCTAGCCAGCGGGCAACACGTGCAATCGCACAACGCACAAATGCAGACGCAGAACGAGGAATCCTGGATGCTCGGATCGGTCAATCAAATCCCACCGTTGCCCAACCACTTGCAAATCCTTTCTGGCTTTCCTAGCGCGTTGGCGCAATATTTACCCGTGCCCGCGTTCCCGTTAACAGATTCCGGTTCGATGGTGAAACCGTCGTTAGGACCAACGCCGGTCAGGATCTTTAATCCGGAAGCGTACTGTGATCTGTGCAATAAAGAATTCTGCAACAAGTATTTCCTCAAGACGCACAAAGCGAACAAGCACGGCATCTACGCCGATTCGCCGGGACCTAGCACCATGGACAATAGCATTCCAGGGCCATTGTTCCCTACCAACTATTCTAGTAACGTGATTAAGCTCGAACTACCCCCTACGCCACCTACGCCGACCGTCGCGTGCGATCTCTGTCAGAAGCGTTTCAAGAACGAGGAATCGATGCGCAAACACAAGCAAAAGATGCACACCGAGCTGCTGGATCAGTCGCAGGAGTCGCAGTCCATCAATTTGTCGCAAAACGAGGAGGACAGGGACACCCCGAGGGACAGCCTCGGTGGTATGGAGACGTTGTTTAAACAAGAGTACGGGATAGAGCAGGAGGACGCGACGTTCGTACCAGCGCCCAGGCATCTATCGCCTCAATCGATTCAGCAGGCACGGGACTCGGGTTTCAGCGCCGATCGGCTTCGTCGTTTGGGCGTTATTAATCCGGAGGCGTTCTGCGAGATATGCTGCAAAGAGTATTGCAACAAGTACTTCCTGCGTACGCACAAAATGAAGAGGCACGGCATCGTCGTTCATGACAACGAGAGATCGCCCAGTAATCAAGGAACGGCGCCCAGCTGGCATCAAGTGCAGACCAGCCCGTTGAATCTGATCGTGACGGAGTCGAATTCTGGTAGCACGGAGTCGAACGAACGAGCAGCCGGCGACGACTACGAGTGCAAATCGTGCGGGATACGTTTCCAGACGATTGGCCTGTATCAAGCACACTGTCGGAAGATGCACGAGAGCGAGGAGCAGCAGTCGCCCAGGCCAGACTGCGAGTTGGACGCGGCCGATCAACGAAACGACTCGATCTCGGAGGATCTTCAGAAATTGCAGACGATGCTGTTGCAGTTGAACGGGCTTAAGTCTAGCAAGGGGTTATCGTGCAACGTGTGCGGAAAAGAATCCGAGACCAGAGCTGCGTTGCATATTCATATGATAACGGAGCACGGAGCTAGCCAAGAAGATTCAACGTCCTCGCCGCAAGAAAAATCACCGTTAACCACAACCGTCGCGTTCTGCGCCCTCTGCGGCAAGGATTACGCGAGCCAAGACGCTCTCAGGAAGCACATCGCCGACGAACATCAACCACCGATTTCGAACACCACTCTTCCTCACACCCCTACGGCGACAACGACCAATACGAATTCGACCAGCCAAACTCCGACGGAGAGGAAAGTCACGTCGATGACGCCCACGTCCAGCTACTGCGAGATATGCAACAAGGAGTTGTGCAATAAGTACTTCATGAAGACGCACATGCAAAGAATGCACGGCATCGAGATCGAGAACGGAGCCCAGATCGGAGGTGTGATATGCAACATTTGCAACAAGGAGCTGTGCAGCAAGTACTTTCTGCGCGTTCACAAGCACAACACTCACGGCATAGTCGATGAAAATACTGCCAGTTCGGTGAAACAGGAGGCCCACGAAACAACGAGCGCGGACGATGCTGCTTTGAAACCGGAACAGCTCGGTGATCTGAGCCACAGATACTTCACTCACTTTACAGAGGTTTGTCCGATCTGTAGCAGGAGGTTCCGTAGTGTAAAGTGGCTAAAGGCACACCTGATGGGTGATCATGGGAAAACAGGTGTCGACAAGTGGCGCGAAATGGAGCAACAGTATCAAACGATGCCGAAATCAGGGAACAGAGCAGTAAACATAACATCGAAGAGTGCTCAACAGAGCTCGAACCTGAAGATACCGAATGGATTTGAAATGTCGCAACAACTCAAGTCCACCGACTACACTGGCTTGGGTAATCAAGTTCTGTCGAATTTACTGGGGTCGTCTACCGAAGATCAGCAGCTGAAAAGCTATCGTTGCTCCTATTGCAATTTCACGACTACCGTGCTGCCATTCCTCTTTCTTCACGAAAGGTCTCACGTGATTTCGCACGACAACATGGAAGGAGACAAATCGCTGCAGTGCCCGGTCTGCTCGCAAGCTTTTCATCAGCCGGAGATGTTGCATCAGCATCTACTCGCGTCGCACCAGTTCCCCACTTTGCTGCCACATTTTCAACCCCCTGTGTTTAACAATTTAAGCCTGGACGCGGAGAAGTTGAACGAAGCCAAAGAGAAACTCGACGTGGAGGCAAAGGAGGATCGCACCGAGAACAATTCGCAGGCCATTGCCAGTCAACATATTCCCCCCGATCCGACGGGAAACAAACGACAGGACGAAACGGCGGTGCAAGTCACGCCTCACGGTGTGTATAAATGCGCGCAGTGCGGCTACGCGACGACCAACTTGAACAGGATCAAAAAGCACGTGAGGAAAGACCACAGAACGATCAGCGATCCTACCGATAGCGTGCTCGCCGAGCTCAGCAGAACTCTGAAAGACGTTGCCAATAAGCACAAGGTGCCAGCTTGCTACGCGACGCCGCAGGACATGAATTCGAATCCTGACAAGACGATCATGCAGCCGTTTCTAATCGAGGAACAGGACACGATGCAAGCTGGAGAGGAGTCCAGCTCGGAGAGGCGATTCGCGCCGGCTTTGGTCTATTTGCCGGTTAAGTCGAGAATCAACAACGCGTTCACCGCGTCCTTCACCCTCAGTCCTGCTTGAAACTCTTCCTTCTTTGCATCACTACTCCTACGGATATTATACGACTCGTTTCTACGTCTGCGATTTGAGCACGTGTTATAAGTTCCTATGTAAAGTGTAAGGGAATAGTTAGGGAAAGTTTATATATATTTTTCATATACGTGGCTCGTTTCGAAAGGTACACCCACCATTCATTCGTTGTTTCGCGTACCGGCGTGACTATCTTGGTGATAACGATCCTCACTGCGAATATTTCCTGGATATTTGCCGTTCTCATCATACGCTTTTATCGCGCGGTGAACGCGAGGATCGGGAAATTTCGGTCCTTTCTTTTTACGTACGTGTATCTGTCTGTCGTTTGCTTGTTCCATGACTTTCTTTCATACGACGTGTAACGTTCATATGTACAGAGTATTTATTGAATATTTTTTTAAACAACGACTTCTTGGATTAATTTTTTGATAGATAGTACGAGAAAACGGATCCCGCGTTTCAAGGCCACCGTTGTTATAGCGTTCCGATTCGGGAACGTTTTACTGTATATAATATAATCGTATAACCAACACGAACGGGTGATCAAAAAAAGTTCCTATTTTAAACGCGACCTCCGAAGAGAACATCCTAGACTGTGTCTAACGTTTCGAGCAGTAGCATCTTTTGTTCGTTCGTTTCGATTATTCTCGTGATCCCGTAATTTTGCTTTCTGCTCAAGTCCAGGAATTACGAGCGTCACAAGATAGAAAGAGAAACAAAAGAATTATACGCGAGGTCGTATCGATGTTAGTCGGACGTCGTCGATATATCGATGATTTTTTTTTTTTTTCATTTTTCGCGATCGTGCTAGTCAATATTTTATATATAAATATAAATATAAATATAAATATAAATATAAATATAAATATAAATATATATATATATACATACACACACACACATATATGTATAAGCAAAGTTGAAAGGTAGGGAAGAAGATTTATAGAAGTATTTATATGTAGACGCGTTAATATATGATGAATAACGTGCGAATTGAGAGAGAGAGAGAGAGAGAGAGAAAGAGAGAGAGAAAAAAGGTGACGATAAAAAAGAAAAAGAAAAAAGGAAAACGTAAAGAAGCGTAATTACCGTAACCGTGAGGCGAGCATGATTAAATCTACGGTTACGATATTTAAGTATCAACGAGCAGTGAAAGCCAATCAACTCAGGGTCGACACAGTATAACCCGTAACAAAAAGTACAATCGTATACACAGCCAACGCATCGCATAGAATTAAAATAAATATATCGATATAACGTTGCGCAAGCCGCGGAGGATATCAAATAATACGCCAATCGATCTCTTCCCGTTTTTGGAAGGGACAAATCGACCACATTTCGAGAACACTTACGACTGTACGATACCCCCCGTTTCGTAATTTAAATTTACGATTGATGCTGTACGCGCCTGTCTGATTATCTATCTAAACCGTAAGATTTTACATAGTTCTAGTCGTTTACAAGAAATAGCGAGCGTCTAACCGGCGTCGGAAACGCGAAGTTCCTTCCTGAAATGACGCCTTTCAACCTCGTGCCTTGCAGCTGAATGAAATTGAGAATCAAAATTTCGTTACCGCCATATATAGGAGTCGGAATAGAAGTTGGATACGATCCGAGTGTCCACGGCGTGATGTCGTTTATTTCTGCTGTCCGTATACACACACAGAAAACAATTCGTGTACCACGATAATCCTCTCGACCTCGTAATGGCCGTTTCCTCTCTTCTTTCTTTTTTCATACGTGTAATCGTATCGTGCCTGTCCGTTACGATTGACCTCGCCGATTACGAAAGGCTGGCCAACGTGGCCTTCAATGCCCGCGATTTAAATTTTAAATCCGACGGAAAGAGAATCAATCAAAAAAA